GAAAACTGATTGCATATACATTGGTGTTTTGCTGATAGCCATTTGAGTTTACATTGGCACCCTGTGATTTTTCAGACGCTGTTTGGGTGCCTTAGGGATTCGAGGTCGAGTCCCGTACTCGCTAATCTCAGATTCTTGAAAAGATTTGGGCTCATCTGGGGCCCAAGTTTGAAGACACGTGCAAAAAAAAAAACTGGAATTATGTACTTTGTATTATTTGGGCCTGTCTCTTAATTTCCCATCTCAATGTTGTTGATGGCCCAAACCATTTTCTTTCGAATATTCGACCATGTTCTCTTCAAGGCCGTTTTTCTTTTAATTAGTTTGAACAATAGTATTAGAAGTAGAATTCAATTTCCTTTAATGTTAATTAATTAGATTCTTAAAGTAGATTTGAGGCGAGCCATATTAGATAATTATAAATTATGGCCCTCAAAACTAAGTTTAGAAATCCTTTTAATAAAATGAATTGAGGTGTGCCGTGCCAAATAAAATCTCAAAAATGCATGGCCTTGCTTAATTAATTTAAATCCTTTAGAAATCGAGGCGTGCCATTTAGTTGAATTTTTCATGGCCCTCGCAAAGTTGTAAGTGCGTAGTTGCTTTAGGCGCGCTATTTTAAAAGTTACTTTCCTAAACTCGGGTGTGCATTTCATGTGACCCAAATCCAAATCTCAACAACGTTAAATAAAATGTGTCGCGGAACTGCGGGTGCATTTCATGTGGCGTGGTCCAAAGACGAGTTTTAGATGACGTTGAAATCTTCCTTAACAAATAATAATTAAAAGCGGCTTAAAAAGTTAAAATATACCATAGGCTAAAACGTGTATTAAAATCAGATAATAGGCCAATTATGATAGTTTAAGCGACCGTACTAGAACCACGGAATCCGGGGGTGTCTAACACCTTCCCTCGGATTAACAGAATTCCTTATTCAGAATTTCTGGTTCGCAGACTCCAAAAGGAAAGTCTAAATTTTCCTTGATTTGGGATTTAAATTAAACCGGTGACTTGGGACACCAAATAAACTATCCCAAGTGGTGACTCTAATAAATAAATAATTCCATTTCGAATAATGTCACTTAAAGTGGAAAAACTCTCTTATATCACCTTCGGGTGTGTAAAAAGGAGGTGTGACAAGCCAAAGGTTACTTTTCTTGTCCATAGTAGGTGGATTAAGGTTAAAAAGAAAATAGCTTCTAACCCTCTCCCCTTCTGGGCAAGAAAGAATCGTATTCATCATTTTTTAAACAAAAAGGGACCCAAGCTTGTCTCTGTTCCCAAAACTAACTTGTGAATTTTGGCGCAGGCTAAGGTGAGAGAAAACAATCAGGACCGGTATCTAGACAGTGGATGCTCAAGACATATGATTGAAGAAAAGAAAAACTTTCTCTCACTGACAGTCTTCCAAGGAGGGAGTGTGTCATTTGGAAATGGGAAAAACGATCAGATAACATGTATTGGCAAGGTTGGAAAGTCACTCTCTCATGCTATAGAAGATGTGTATTATATGGTAGGTCTTAAGAACAATCTTCTTAGCATCTCTCAAATGTGCGACAAAGTAAACGAGGTAAAATTCAATTCCAAAATTTGCACTGTCACAAAGCTATATACTGATGAAATTGTGTTAAAGGGTAAGAGACATAACAATGTCTACAAGATATCGATTATATCACTTCCCTAGAGTGAGCACACATGCTTGAGTGTAGTGGAAGATGATCCATTTCTATGGCATAGAAGACTGGGACATGCCAATCTCTCTCAACTCAACAAGTTGGCAATAAAGGACTTGGTCCTTGGGCTACCTAAAGTTGAGTTTACCTCTGACAAAGTATATGATGCATGTGTTAGAGGGAAACATGTTAGGTCATCCTTTAAATCTAAAAGGTTTGTAAGTACTTCTAAACCTCTAGAACTCCTTCACTTGGACCTATGTGGACCAATGAGAATAACGAGCAGTGGAGGTAAGAGAATATGTGTCTGTGATTGTTGATGACTTCTCCAAGTATACCTGGACTTTATTTTTGGGATCCAAAGATGAAACTTTTGATGTTTTCTGTGTATTAGTCAGAATGATCAAACAAAAGCTAGCATGTAATGTTTTAAGTATAAGAACTGACCATGGAACTGAATTTAAAAATTAAAAATTTCTTGAGTTCTGTGGCTCACTTGGCATTGACCATCATTTCTCTGCACCTAGAACTCCACAACAAAATGGGATTGTAGAAAGAAATAATACATCCTTAGAAGACATGGGGAGGACCATGTTGATTGTCAGTGCATTGCCTAAAAAATTCTGGGCTGAGGCAATTAATACTGCCTGCTACCTGCTAAATAAATGCATGGTCAGACCCATTCTTGAGAAAACTCCCTATGAGTTACTTCGTGAAAGAAAATCCAACATCACTCACCTGAGAGCCTTTGGGTGCAAATGTTTTGTGCATAATAATGGGAAAGAATCTCTAGGCAAGATTGATGACAGAAGTGATGAGAGAATTTTCTTGGGTTACTCTCCACATAGTAGGGCCTATAAGGTTTTTAGTAAAAGAACTATGTGTGTGGAAGAAAATATTCATGTTATTTTTGATGAATCTAACAACATGGCTGAGAAAGGTCTGCAAGATGAAGATTATGATATAGGGTTCAATGGTGATGGAGATACAAAGGAGTCCGATGAAGATGGAGCTGAAAAACACAAGGAAATTGACAGTGATCATGAGGAACAAGAAGAAGAAAGAACTACTCTAACTGCTGACCAGACTAATGAAGCCACACCTACTGAACCTGCTTCTTTAGGTCACTCCTCGGATGAATGTTCTCTGGATATACAGATCAGACCATGGAAGCATCAAAGCTCACATCCTCTTGAGAATATCATCTCCGATCCAAATGCAGGGGTACAAACCAGGTCTTCTCTAAGAAATCTATGTGCACTCACAGCATTCCTATCACAGGTTGAACCTAAGACCATTAAAGAAGTTCTAAAGGATCCATACTGGATCATAGTTATGCAAGAGGAGCTAAATCAGTTTAAGAGAAGCAAGGTATGTCACTTGGTACAGAAACCCAAGAACATAACTGTCATAGGTACCGGGTGGGTATTCAAAAACAAGTTGGATGAACAAGAAAATATCACAAGGAACAAGATCAGACTGGTGGTTCAGGGATGCAATCGAGAGGAAGGCATTGACTATGATGAGACATTTACACCTGTAGCTAGAATGGAGGCTATAAGAATACTGATAGCCTTTGCTGCCCACATGGAGTTCACTTTATACCAGATGGATGTAAAGAGTACCTTTTTGAATGGTTATCTGAAGGAGGAAGCATTTGTCAAACAACCTCTTAGTTTTGAAAGTAAAGAATTTCCTGACTTTGTGTTCAAAATGGATAAAGCTCTTTATGGATTGAAATAGGCTCCAAGAGCTTGGTATGAAAGGCTCTCAAAATTCCTCTTAGCCAACAACTTTGAAAGAGGAAAGGTGGACAACACTCTATTTCTAAGGAGCAGAGGGAAGAATATTCTGATTGTGCAAGTGTATGTGGATGACATTATCTTTGGGGCTACCAATGAAGCAATGTGCAAGGAATTTGATGAGATGATGGGAAATGAGTTTGAGATGAGTATGATGGGTGAATTAAACTTCTTTCTGAGGCTGTAAATCAAGCAAACACATACTGGAACCATGATATGTCAACAGAAATATATCAAAGAACTACTGAAGAAGTTCAACATAGATTCCTCTAAGACCATTGACACACCCATTGCAACTGCAACAAAGCTGGACCTTGATGAAGAAGAGAACTGATATAGTGTCTAGTGTGGGATTATGTGCAAGATTTCTGGCGAATCCCAAGGAATCCCACCTGAAGGCTGTCAAAAGGATACTAAGATATCTCAAGGGGACCCCTGACCTCTGTCTATGGTATCCTAGGGGGTATAACTTTGATCTAGTTGGTCATGTTGATGCAGACTATGCAGGTTTTCATGTTGACAGGAAAAGCACTTCAGGAACAACTCATTTTATAGGTTCTTGTCTGGTGTCTTGGGGAATCAAGGAGCAAAACTCAGTGGCCTTATCTGCAGCTGAGGCTGAATATGTGGCAGCAGCATCCTGTTGTGCTCAATTGCTATGGATAAGACAACAACTAAGGGACTATGGTATATTTGTTGATTGTATTCCCATTTTCTGTGATAACACTAGTGCCATAAATATTGCTAAAACCCATGCTAGCATAAGAGAACCAAGCACATTGATAGTAGACATCACTTTCTCAGAGACAATGTTGAAAAGGGGAATATCTCAATTAACTTTAGCAAAACTGAAGATCAAATTGCTGATATTTTTACTAAAGCTCCAAGTAGGGATCACTTTGAAAGAAATAGACTAGAACTAGGTCTAATCAACTCCTCCCACTAAGTTGAATCCCAGTGATTGGTTTGAAAAGGCATAATAAGATGTAGATAATTAAGTACAATGTGTTTGATTCAACATTGTGCTTGTATTAAGCTCACACACTTGCTTTGAAAATATGGCTGATAACTGTGCTGCATGATACTAATACGAAGTGCTGAAGTTTTATAGCAGAAACAATTAAGGAGTTGCTATGGAGTTGGTTCTTTGACTTAGGTACGTGCCATGCTGCCTTAAGTCACTAGGTTTTTTATATTCTAAAATTATTGCTATGCTCAGACTTTCAATTTTGTTGGCATCACTTCCAATCATCTTCCAGTCATAGAGTAAGGGGGAATCCTAGTGCAATTAAAGATCAATTACTCCTAAAATTCTAACATCAAAGTAACCGTTAAAGGAGTCCCGTTAGAACTCAAATTCGGTCACCTTCTCTTTTCCAGTCAAATTAGGAGTAACGCCTTTAAAAGGCTCTTATGATCAGCTTCTCCAACCTCACTGTTTGTCTCAACCCCTAAGAAAGAATCAAAAGCAATTATCAGGAAATAATTATCTCATTCTCTTCTTCAAATCTCTCATCTGATCATCATGCCTAAAGCCAGTCAAACACCCTCTAAAGCTAAATCATCAACCAAGGATGAAGCAAAAACCAAAATCTTGAAGCCTAAATCGAAGAAAAATGCCCAGTCGTCAAGAGAACCCACACCCACACCTGCTCCTTCTCCTTCGATATCCTCCACTATACCTACATCAGCATCCCTTATTCATACTATTCCCATTATTCCCACCTCCACTGTATGCTCTCCTCCAAAAACAACTACCTATTCACCTGAGCTTCCTGCAAAAAATAGCTTTAAGTCAACAAAGGTCAAAGCTACTCCAAGAAAATTTGTCAAGAAAGTGCCTGAGGCTGCTACGCAGGGTAACATTGTAGCCAAGGAATCTGTGATTCAGGGGGAATCAGTGTCAGTCACTACTGATCAGGTACCACATCTTACTTCCAAGTTAGGTATTTTGGTGTCTGCTATAGATGTTGCACCCCTAGATACTCTCCCACCAACGAGTGAGAATCCATCAGTGGAGAAATTCCCTGTAGAAAAAGGTGTAGGGGATTTGGGAAAGGAGATAGATCCAACAGCTGTGGAGCCTGTAGTTGAGGAGGAAGGACGTAAAGAACCGATGCAAAATAAGGCTTCTAATAGCCTTGATTTTAGTTGGACTGAGGATGAAGAAGATAATGAAGCTGAAAAAGAAGAAGAAGTTGTGAACAGCCATGAGGAACATGAGGCTCAAAACATAGCCAATGAAGAAGAAAAAAGTGAGAATGAGGGAGTATCTGGAGATGAGAAGGAGATTCATACAGAGGATAAGACAGGTGAACATGCTAATGATTCTGCAGAAGAAGAAAATCATAGCGAAGAATAGGAGGTTTCTGAAAGTGAGGGTGAGGATCAAGAAAAGGTAAGTGAAAGTGAAGGAGGTGATGACGAGAGTGAGGAAAAAAAGGGGAACGTGAGTGAGGAATCTGAAGGTTCCATGACAATTGGAAACACTGTCATAGCCCCTTCAGAAGAAATTAGTGAAGAGACAAGGGCTCAAAAACCTGGGTCTCTGTTAACTCCTTTCACTGGAGATGAAGAAGTTAGTAGTGATGAGGATGATATGTCACTATTTGAGGTAGGGAATAGGTCCAGGAAGACCACTGTGTAAGCTACAAAGTCAGCAGTCTCAACAAGGAAAGGAGTGGTTCCTCCTACCAGAACTACCCTCACAAAGAGTAAAAGAAAGGTTGTTGATGCACAAATCATGAAGGAGTCCAAAAGTGCAAAGAAGCCAAAAAAGAAGGTTTCAATTGTGGAACATCTTGTTGAGGTGGATGGAGAAGATGAATCTGACTCTGCCTTGCCAGCAAAGTCTGCTACACCAAAGAAAAAGGGAGCCAAAGTCACCAAACATGCTACCTCTTCTGCAAGGGTCAGTTGGGATAAGACAAGAAAGAGTGTGCCAGTTGCTGTTGATCGACTCATAGAGTTCAGGAATAGAAACGTGCTAAATGGGAAGATTCTTGCGAACACCGATGAGAATGGGATAGCTCAACTGGTTGAGAAACTTGAGCTACAGGGGTGGAAGCACATGTTTGTCAAAGCTTCCCCCCCCCCCCCAGTATGTGTTCCTGCTGTGGTGGAGTTCTATACAAATTTCACATTTGATGGGAAGGTAGTCAAGAGTAAGGTAGGGGGCTTTGACATGGAGTTTGATGCTGAGGAGCTGGGACTGCTTCTGAATATCCCTTCTTTGGGATTTGACAATTACTTGAAAAAGAAATGGCTAGCCATAGACAATGATGTTGACACTAGCATTGTGGTCACCAGAAAGTTCTCCCAAAAGTTTGAACTAGATGATCCCCAGAAAGTGTACAAGAGTGATATGACACCTTTTCACAAACTATTGTTTCATTTTGCCAACTCCTCCATTCTTCAGAGGTCTGAGAGAAGGCATGAAGCTACTCTACTAGACATGGATGTGATGGAACTGCTTGACACTGGTCAACTTATCAATCTTCCTAGCCTGATGATTCAGCACATGGCAAGAGCTGCAAATACTTCCAAACCAAAGCATGCTATGCCATATGGTTTTATGTTGATTGAGTTATTTGACAAGCTCAACATTGCCTTACATGAGCTTAAGTTTGGAAACCACAATGACATTTTGGATGTTGTTACCCTCAAGCAGTGTGGATATGAGGAGATCAAGGCTAGAGGACCCACATGATCTACAATTTTAACGGGGAGCAGCAGGGTTGCAGAACTCAGCAAGAGGTTGGAGTTGACTTTTGAAGAGAATGCCAAGCTTCGTGAAGACAATAATGAGCCGAGAAAGGAAACAAAGCAACTCAGGGAAGAGCTCAAAAGATATAGGGAGGCCCATGCTCAACAGATTGCTAGCCTTGTGAAAGTTTTGACCCCCTCTGCCTCTCACCCTTGAACCTGTTCCTTCCCAGTGTCCTTAGTTCTTTTGCTTTTCTAGTGATGCCTTATCTTTTGTTTCTTTTTCGTTTGAGTAGTTTGCAGTATGCTTAGTTTATCTTGTTCTAATGATGAAGACAAGGCCCTGGGCTTCTTTTGGCACTACTTAAATGTCTCCTATTGCTCTGCTTTACTACTTTGTACTCTATTGGATCATCAACCTAGTTTATTTGCCATTTTTTATGCTTATGTTGTCGCATGTTTGGATTTGAATCTTACATTATCTGTGCTTAAATGTCTAACATTTTTGTGTGTGTTTTCGATGATGCCAAAATGGGGAAGATAGGGTTGGAAGTTGCCGAGAACATACATGTCTGTCAATAGTGCTTGTTGTTATTATCTGGTTCTTTTGGAAGTTGCTGTGAACATACATGTCTGTCAATAGTGCTTGTTGTGATTATCTGGTTCTTTGAGGTGATTATCGAGTTTTGTTGTGGTTCTGCTGTGTAAAAAGTTTGTTATCATAAAAAAGGGGTAATTTGTTGAATATTGAAGTTTTGATGATTAACATAGTATGGCTAAATGTTCAAAGAACTAGGTCCTCAACGTAGTTGCTTAACTGTTCTGAAGAATCTGCTCCTCTGGAGAAAGAATCAACTCCTAATGAATGATACTTGTACGTTTGTACAAGACAATAACTATATCTCAAAGTTACCCAGGTCCGAGTTTGGCGGAGGGTGGCTACTGGCTACTATAAGTGATAAGGGTCGTTGCTCAAGAAGGTATGGATAATCAGTCAGAGACTAAAGTCCCAAAGCTTGTAGAATCATTGGAACAGTAGGAGTCCTATCAAAGAGGAAACTGACTATGAATAGGACTCCTAGAAAATCTCAACTAGCGTTTTAAACAGTATCGACTTTGGATTTCTGAATTATCCTTTTACACATCAACAACAGAGTCATAAAGAGTTTACTTATGTTGAGTACTTGTCTTGAATTCTTCCCGAGTTAGTCTAGTGAATGTCTTTTAGGAAATTGAGTTGTAATCAAGTGTCATAAACAACTAGTGAGTTGGAGTGAGTATTTTGTTTTACAAGTTAGAGTTACTTTTGAATCAAATAGGAGTAGTAGGAGTACTGGAGAGTATTTAATTACAGTCTTGTGATTGATACATTTTGGCTCATTGTTCTAGTGGAGTTGGAGTTGAAAATCCTACATGGTAGGTCGTGGTTTTTGCACCTTTTGAGCCGGGTGATTTTCCGTCCGCGATCAGTTCTTCTATCGGTAACGAACCTATCCGTCGAACTTAAACCTCTGCCGCGTTCTTCGGCCCATTCATAGGGATTAAAACCGCTCCTCGAAGACCATCGATCTATGTCGAAATCGTCTTTTGATTTCTCTTTATTCTTTTCCCAGAACCGACCCTTAATCGATGCCGGAAACTGGTTGTGAACATCCGCCCAAGTTGTCGCTTGGAACTCGAGCATGCTTTCTTTCAACTTCCGGGAAACATCGAAACTTCTCAGATTCAAACTTTTGTGAATGCTTCAGCCGCCCATTCATCCGGAACGACCGGTAGAAACATACTTTCCTTTTGGAACCAGGTTACAAACTCCCGCAGCAACTCGGACTCTCCTTGTGCAATCCTGAATATATTGGCCTTTCAGGCATGTACCTTTCTGGCCCCGGTGTGGGCCTTAACGAAAGAAACCGCGAGCATCTCGAAGGAATCTATGGAATGCTTGGGCAAAAGCGAATACCAGGTCAAGGCTCCCTTCGTGGGAGCCTCTCCAAATTTTTTCAACAAAACATACTCGATCTCGTGGGGGCCTAAATCGTCCCCCTTCACCGTTGTTGTATAGGTGGTGATATGCTCCTGAGGATCTTAAGTCCCATCATATTTCGGTACGTTCGGCATTTTAAACCGCTTCGGGATCAATTCTGATACGGCGTTTGGTATGTACGGCAATTGAGTGTACTTCTTTGAGTCTGGCCCCTTCAGCACTAGTGGTGCTCCTGGAATTTGGTCCACGCGGGCATTCACTTCCCTCATAAATCGTATGAGTTCGTTTTTGAAGGGATCACCCTCGTTGTTGTGACCAGATTCGCTACCCCCGGCCCCATGGAAGCCGACCTCGCCCCTCGGGGTATTGTTGTCGACCCTCTGCATTGTTTGATTTGCAGGAGCACCGGGAGGAACTGGACCTCGTCCATTCGCATTATTGGAAGCACCCGATAACGCGTGCTTTAGCTCTATCATAACATTATCTTGCCGTGTGAGATGGCCTAAAATGGCTTCTTGTTGCTCCTGCAGGACCCTTACCGCTTTGACGACGTGCTCCTCTTCAACATCATCAGGAGTCGCTTCTCGAACATGTCGCGGGTACCGCTTGCCGTGGACCGGCGTGGCCTCGTTCCCCTCACTGCGGGTATCACCCATTGAATCATCGTGCTGAGGCTGATTTCCTTGGGCCTCAAGGTTGTGTGTGTTGTTAACACCATTATTTACCATTTTCTATGATTTTTTATTAAGAACAAACAACCAAACACGTTAGTAAAGGAGGCAAGGACCAACTTAATTACACAACTGTCTAAGGCCCACAGTGGGCGCCTAACTGTTTATCCGTAAAACGGTATAGTTGAATTTATACGTGATTTATAGACAAATGAATTAATTTGATCCTAAGATAATAGATGAATTAGACAAAAACGTAACACTTAGCCTTGAAATGAAGATAAAATAGCAGAAATAGCAATTCTGGGAACAAGGCTTCCGGGGATAATAGCAACGATATCAGTAAACAAAAAGATAAAATTATATTAAGCTTTGAATAGAGTGTAGCATGTATTTACGAGAAAAGTTCTCCTCCTTACAATGATAATAGAACTTACCATATCAACTTTTCAATTATACCATTTTGTATAACAAAAAATTAGACTTTTTGAAACCGTCCCAATCATCTAGGTTTCTCTTCATTATCGATGCAGATGTTTATCTAAGAAATGTAAAATAGTACTACTATTTATTAGTACATGTATTCAAAATACATATTTTCTGTTAAAAGTAATTATGAATTATATTTAGTTTTAATAAATTAATAAGAGTTATTACAAATATATATTATAATCAAGAAGGGGAGCCTTAGCGTAACCGGTAAAGTTGTTGCTTTGTGACCAGGGGTCACGGGTTCGGGCCGTAGAAACATTGTCTTGCAGAAATGCAGGATAAGACTGCGTACAATAGACCCTTGTGGTCGGGCCTTTCTCCGGACCTTATGCATAGCGGGAGCTATGGGTGTCAATAGTTCGGTTCGGCCGGTTATTTTATAAAATTCGTACCATACCAACTTTTCGGTTATACCATTTTTTATAACAAAAAATTAGACCTTTTGAAACCGTCCCAATCATCTAGGTTTATCTTCGGTATCGATATGGTTCGGTTAATTTTTTGTAAAAAAACGTCATGCAAGAGTCACTAGTCGAAGTTAGAATGCGATAAATGTATTTCTCGAATGTAATTACAACAAGTTGAAGTCAAAAATTAAGCAAAAATAAGAGAAATATAAATCATACGAGTGGAGAGATACTAATCAAGTTGGGACTCAAGAAAAGAGCTTATTAGATTAGTATCCAACAAGAGAAATCTAAATTACACGAGAGAAAAGATATCCAATACCTTGTGACTTGCTACTGAAGATCGTTGGAATACATTGTGGCTTGCTAGCTACTCAAGATGTTGGAGCTCATTTAGTTTCGATATGAGTAATAGAATATGTTTGGAAGTTAGGACTTTGGATATTGATTATTTACTTCTGGCCATTTCCATAATCCGAAGACCCCCAAAAAAAAATTTAATACTTTGTTAGTTTTAAACTTAGTAGATAAAATATATTTTTCATATATAAATTTATTCGGTAGGGTTCGATATCTTTTCGATTTATTTTTATAAAATTAAAACCTACCCAGGTACGATTATAAGTTTATATAAAAAATTACAATTTTATTAAAACAACCCTAATAATTGGTTCGGTATTGTTCGGTTAACCCTAATAAAACAATTTTTTTATTGATGAATAAGAAAAATTGGTCAAATATAAAATCATTTTCAATATGTTATCCTCACAAATATATTTTTGTATAAAAATATAAAACAAGAAAAATATAAATACCAATAAACAAAAAAAAAGAAGGTATTTCTCGAATGTAATTACAACAATTTTCAGCCACCACTAAGAATTTGGATGCTAATTGCACTTCCTCAACTATAATCAATTTATTTTTATCAAGTAAATGATATTAATCCAATCCAATTCAAATGTACGAGGGTTAAATATTAGTAGTAACGGACAGAAGTGTGCAGCAACACTTCCCGGCTTCAGGAGACCGTTGCATCTTTTTCTCCGGTGACACGTAGTCCGGTCTTCTTCCGCGTGTGTATGTACAAAAGCATACATTCATCGAACGTGAACCCTAGGTGAACTTGTTGGCGGCTTCCAACAGAGTTCTCCAGCTATGGAGGTACAGAATCACAATGCTGCTGAGGGACCTCTTCCCATTGAAGGTATATAACTCAACCTTTCTAGAATTTTCCATCAGAAAATGAACTTATTTTATGATTGTTTCTTTTTTGATAACCAAAATATCGTGTGAGTTAGTTGCCCCAACCCCTGCTGAAACCTAACATAATACCTGTTACTTTTAGGAAGATAAAGGAATCTCAAATTTGTTTGGTTAAATAATATTCATGTTAATGAAAATAGATATGACAAGCAAAAAATGTGTCATATAGTTGATGATAAGTCGATTCATGTATATTTTTTCATGGCATATGTGGATACAATTTGAATCTTTCTTGTGATTGTTTTTCCGTGAATTATGATCCAGAAATCCCTTGTGAGTTAGCTGGCCCAATCCCAATTTCCCCATATGTTTGAAACTCGACAGAGTATGGGCCAGTCCCTCTATCCTGCTCCCACTTAAATGCTAGGCTTCTTATTAGCGGCAAGCTTTGAAACGTTGACGTGCGCCCAATCCGCACATCCCACTTTTCGTCCTCGTTCTTGTGGTTGCTGGGAATGATTCATCCCCTACGGAATAAGAAACTATTTTTAGGTTCCAGTTTATTAAAAAAGATTGAAATGGAATGAAGTGGGAGACCATATTAGGTTCCAGTTTCACTAGAATTTTAGCTCATATTTTTCGCCTATTCCTTTCTGAAATGAACAAGTTTTATCATAAAGGATGCTTTGTTTAGAAATAACAAAACAAGCTGTTTGAAGACTGTTTCTAACTTTCTCCTTTTGTCAGCTTGAATAATTATGATGTTCATGAAATGTTGTAATTCGTATGTGTGTGTGTGTTTGTATAATTTTTTGAGGAGATAATGCACAGCTGTTGGATTTTTCATGTATAATCTGTAGGTTTCTTTTACTATATGTTGATCCTTTCGCTTCGACTATTTTATCACCCTTTCTCCTTATCACCTTATCTTGTTGATGTTACTACGTGCTGTGTTTGCTTCTTTTACTTTTACCTTGAGCCGGGGGTCTATCGGAGAAAACCTCTCTACCTTCCCAAGGTAGGGGTAATGCCGTGAATGATGCTTTTGGTTGTTACCAGTTTTAGATGATCTTCCTTCTTCTATTTGGCTGATCCATTTTAATAGAAATATGGTTTTTTGGTTTCTACTCTAGGGAAGCACTCATTTGTTCATTGTCCAATATATGATATGATTAAGCTGGAATCTGAACCTCCATTCTAAGATATTTTCATGCCTTGATGCTCTAATGGATACATTAAATGTAACTTGTAAAAAAGAAAAAAAGATAGAAACACACTCACTGTAGATCGACAATTTTGTCATGTGCATACGCATCAAATGTGATATTCTCGGTGGCTTGTCTTTTCTTGCGTGGAGTAACAGTCATTGACTGCAACTGAGAACCAAAGAAGGCAAATGTTAAGGCTTTATTCACACGTTTGTTTCTCTTTTCTTTTCCTTTTAAGTTTGACATTAATGATATTCTCAGTTTCTCACCATTTTAATTTTTCATTTTCCATGGGTTTTCCTTTTATTGCAAACTTCAGGAAGCTTGACTAAGCTATGTATCCTTTCTCTAATTTTCTTATACCTAGCTTCATTTAGTCATGCAACATGTGCAATTTTTCTTTTTTCATGTTTTGGCATTGCTTGATTCTGAATACAGACTCATGGCTTCTTTTATTGAAGTTCATCATGAAAGACTTAACGAGATGATTTCTGGAGGGTCAGAAGACCTTGATTCTTGGACCTCACTGATATCAGAGATTGAGAAAACCTACCATGTAAGTGGAAATTTGCTTGGCTTCGTATGGGTCAAATTCATTATCATGTTTGATGAGGGATACAACTTTATATTGTCTTTTTTCTAAATCATGTCATATTAAACTTTACCATAGTGCATCTTCTAGTTTGTATAAGAACGACAATAATAAGTCCAATAAGCAAAATATCATGTTTTCTTGTGCTTGGATGTGTCCGCTGAAATGATCAATGGTAGGTTTGGCAATTTTATGGTCATGGATTTTGGATGATTGTACAAGAGAAATTAAGCACAACATGCCTAGACTAGATGTGGTACTTATGATGAGCATTTGCCCGACACCTGTGATATATTGATAGATGTGGAACCCAAGGATCAGAGGCAAGTTGAAGTATATTAAACTCCAACTCTCAATAGAACCAAAAGCGCAAAAGGTTAAATGATGCATGCCAGAACAATTGTTGGAATAGAATAGGAGTAAAAGGCGACAAGACATTATGGAACAGTATACCAGTGCCTATATGGTGGATTTATGGGAGGAAAAAGATCACCGACTCTTTGAAAGCAAAAGGAAATAATTGTACCTTAAAGCATAGATATTTAGCTCTATTAGCTTTTTGGTTAAAAAACGAGAATGTACAGGAAGCTTGTACAAGATGATTAATTTCTCCAGTTACAATAAAAAATGATTAATTCCTTAGTTCTTTTCAAAGTAGCTAGTGCACTAAGATGCATTTTGCTGGGATTGTACTATTCATCCATAGTGCTCTCTGGGCGCAATTATTTAATAAAAGTTTCATTACATTTTCCAAAAAAGAGAGAGAGAAAGAAATCAAAACCCCAAACAAAAAGGCAAATTGGAGTATATGAAACTTCAATCGTCAATTGAATCAAAAGCCCAAAAGGTAAAGATGGAGTAGAAGGATATCGAACCTAATTACTTAGAAGTTGATCACAAACCAAGGTATACAAGCTTCGGCCCGATGATAATTCAAGTAACTAACCTAATCTATCAAGGTGGACGAATGCTACAAACATCTAATCTTAGGTAGCAGAGTAGACTTCTTCAATAGAACTTGGGAGAAGCCTTTCTCAAAGTAACATTGCATAAAAGTATGAATAATTTGATAGATGGCTATGAAAACTTACGGGCTTAGTAAAAGGAACAAAAACTCTCTAAACAACACAATAAATTGTGTACAACACCACTCCTGCGCTAAGCTACACTACAAGATGACATTCTCCAATTCTAGTGCGATTGTTCTGGCTGCTGCCTTCTTGTTGTGCAGTCGTTCTCTCACACTCTGCTCCATATGTTTTAGTGAAATAGACAAAACTTTGTATAGAAAAGTCCAAATGACAAAATGTTTAAATTGTTAGAATTTGGAAAGACTTTAAGCGCTATAAGTTTCCTTCATGAGTCATGTCCAAGTTCTCCATTGATCGAGAGTCGTGCATCTTTAAAACTGGGTCATCATTCACTCGGTAGAATATCTGAATATGTTGCTCTTAACTTCTCTTGCTTTTGTGAGGAAATAGACCTTGGGCCTAACTCAACCCTAAAAGCTAGTTCATGAAGGATGGATTGTCCGTGACCATATAAGGAGACTACAACCCATTTTCTCAACCAATGTGGGACTTAACACCTCTCGGATTCAGGACTGGAGAACTAGAGCGTGGATAACATAAAATGGTGGCCCAACATTGAGAAACACGATAACAGGGATCGATGGATTTGACTCTGATACCATGTGAAGAAATGGACCTTTAGCCTAACTAAACTCCAAAAGTTGGCTCATGACTGGAGGACTACCCAAGACCATATAAGGAGATCACAACTAATTTCCTCAACCAATGTGGGACTTAACAACTTTGATCCGCATTACTCATCACCATTCTACTATTTTAGCATCACAAGTTACTCAACTACATTCATAGCTGCCCTTGCATGCATCACCCCTCTTATTTAGAGGGATTCATCATCGAATCTGAACCTGCATCAAAGGAAGGGTAATTAGCTAACCCCCAACAAGCATTCTGGGTTACTCAGCTGGCAGGAAAGAATGAAGTAGTGTCCATGGACCCTCTATTGGTCCATCTCCACTTAACACACTTTTTTTTTTGGGGTTAGGACTCATTTGTTATACACCCAAAAGTAATCAAAGTATAAAGTAACAGAGTCACCATGTAAGCACGTAAAGCTTTGTTTATCATCATTAAGTAACCAAACCAGAAAACTGAAGCTGGATCATATTTACTTTATAGAATATGTTGCTCTTCACTTCTAATATCTAACTTCTCTTGCCTTGATCTCCATTACTCATTGCCATTCGACTCTCTTTGCATCATAAGCTTCTTGGTTGCACTCTTGGCCCCAATGCATCATATGTAGCACTTACCTGCTTGCAAGAGCTGCTCTCTTGTAACCATTTCTGCTTCTATATTAGGAGCAGGTGTATTCAATAGTCAAACTATTTTACTGTTCCGGATTGGCAAAAAGCTTGGGTAGAAGCTAAGTCTTTTAGGGTGAAATCGTCTGACCAATGCATCTAGATCTGTCGATGATATAAGAAACCTTGCATGCAATTTTAAATGATTCTTCTCATTCTTCTATTTTGCCCTGTGCGCTTTGACTCAATGGAAATACAAGTGATTCTGTTCCTAATACTGCAGGATGATAGAAATACGATTTGCTTGGCTTTTGACTCCTTTTTGTCTAAGTTTCCACTGTGCCACTGGAATTGGAAAAAATATGCTTATCACGAGGCACGACTATGCGATGCTGAAAAAGCTGTTGAAATCTTTGAGCGTGCTGTGGAATCAACACCATTTTCTGTTGGTCTGTGGGTTGACTATTGTACCTTTGCCGTGAGTTCTTTCGAGGATCCATCTGATATTCGTAGGTAAATCCTTCGAATTTGTACTTCCATAAGTTTCTTTAAAAAGATGCCAGACATACCTGCCACGTTAGTCATTAACTATAATGATGAAAATGTTAACAGGACAAAGATACAGTGGAAATCACTACTGAATTAGCTAAAGGAGAGCATCACTGCTTCACATTCATTTAAATCAGCTGTCTCAATCCCAAACTAATTGGGCCCACTATATGAGTAATCTGTATCCATTTTAGAGTGTTCTTCCTAGTTAACTGTTCTTATACCAGCCATCGAGCTGCCGTAGCTGGTTTCCTTTATCTGAATCTGGAACCATCTGTGCTTTGCACATAGACAGAAGTAGCATCCCTGCATAATGTAGCTCTTGTAAATGCTGAACTGCAGTAGCATGGAGGATTGGTTGAATCACAGCTTTTGATACAGAATATAGTTAGACCTAGTTTTTTTGTTTTTACCTGTTCATATTCCACCTTTTGTTTTCATATAAAGTGAAAGCCTCCCTGTGAAAGGTTGCAACAATATATTTACACTTTTGAAATTCATTAAAAACATCTGAAAATTCAATTCTAAGCTATGTGAACATGTTCAGTGAGATCATAAATAGTAATTCCTATAATCTGTATATTCTCTTAAAACTTTTATGACAGGTTGTTTACCAAAGGAATCTCCCTTGTTGGGAAGGACTACTTCTGTCATTTCTTATGGGACAAGTACATGTCCTTTGAGTTCTCGCAGGAGCAGTGGGGTTTCCTTGCTCTAGTTTATGTACAGGCTCTACGCTTCCCCACAAAGAAGTTGCATAAGTACTATGAGAAGTACGTCTTACTTTACTTTCTCCATTCTACCATTGAGGGTTCGTCTTGGTTTCAATTTCTATTTTGAATCAATTTTTATTCTTTCTGGTTATTTAACCCAGCACTACTGCTCTTAAATTTTCAGAGAACAATGTTTGATCAAAATAGTATTGGATGCATATTCTGCTGAAATAAAATAAATATAAAGTGTTTGATAAAAAATTAGATAAAACGTCAGATTCATGACCTCATATTTAGTGGCACAAGAGTACCTAAAATTACTGGTAAGTCATGTTCGAATGCTGAAAACTGATCTCATATATATACTAGACTGCCCTTGATGTTCTGATTGTGACACTATACTTCATACTTTTATTGCTGAGAGCCTAAGGTTCTTCACTATCTATGTTCAGAAAGTAGGTCATATTACTTGATTATATTAAACTTCCGACGACGAAGACTCTTGTCCTGCTGGCTACGGTAGAATTTCAGGTGCTAAATGGATTGGATTACTCCCAAAAGAGGTATCTGTATGACTAAAAGGTATATGCTCTGTGCTGATAAAGTGTGTGCGCTAACAAAGTTATTTGGATATGTGACGGGGCAATTTTTGTACCCAGATTGGCCATATCAGCTAATTCTTATCCAACCAGTGACACTAAGTAGGCGTTTTGAAATGTTTCTGTTATTTTCTGATTCATTTCTTTTTAGACACCCCTGTAGGACAGTAAAAGATTTACATGGCTCCTATTATTAATAAAAAATTATTTTCTGAAAAATGGATAAACAGTTGTTATGTCTACCAAAAAGCCAAAACTGTGCCTTAACATCATTGAGCTGGTTCATGGTAAGGCAAGGGCGAAGATTTTAATATAATGGAGTAATTCAATGCGATGGGTCTTTCAGCACCTGTCACTTCTTGCCACATTCTGTTGGATTATATCTTATCTGCTTCAGATTCAAAGCATTTCAATTGTGAATGCTAAAAAAGTTCATATGCTGATATACCTTATTAATTATCCAGCTTTAAGAAGTTTGTAACCAATTTAGAAGAGGGGATTCTACATCTCAGTGATGACAGCCGTGAAGTACAACTAAAAGAGCTATCAGATGCAACAGTTGTGTTATCGAGTGGAGAAATTGCTCAAGTTGTTAGGGATATCCAGGATCCTAGTGATGATTCAGTCAGGTTGAAAGCACTGTATAAGTACAAATATGGTGGAAATCAGCTATACCAAAAAGCATGTCAACTAGAGAACAAAATTAGAAGTTTTGAATCAAACATCCAGAGGCGATATTTCCAGGCAACTCCTCTTGACAACAATGAGCTGAAGAACTGGCATGATTATCTCGACTTCATTGAAAAGCAAGATGATTTTGATTGGGTATGCTTTAGTGTTCTCTGAAGATGTCAGGGATTCCTGCTTGATTTTGCTCCAAAATAGTAAACTATTCTGCTACAGGCCCTAAAACTTTATGAGAGGTGCTTGATATCCTGTGCCAACTACCCTGAGTTCTGGATGCGTTATGTGGATTTCATGGAGACTAAGGGCGGACGAGAGCTAGCAATGTTTGCTTTAGAACGAGCAACGAAAGTTTTCTCGAAGGTAAACTTCAAGATACTTCCTGTACAGGCACTGAATGACAACCACTTTACTCTTCACTTGAATGTTGAATCACTTTTCTTTATTTGATTGGTCTGTCTTATGGCTGTAGCAGGATTTGGTCAAGTGAATGTGAAAGTTAATCAGTTATAATCCTGAATGATTTTTGTTTTTCATTCTCTAGCCAACCTCAGATTTGTGCTTTAGATCACTTGGATTTATCTGCAAATATGCTCACTAGTCACTGTTATACTGCATAAGAGCACTTTATCCCCCAAAAAAAATAAATTGCATAAGTGCAGTATCTAGCCAGTTCTTGTGAGGAAATGGTTACTGGCCTGTATGCATTCTGGAAACCAATTTTTCCCAGTTAAATAATCAATAATGAAAAGGTTTCATAAAAGAAAAAAAAATAAAGTGAAAAGTATGAAAATTTGGAAGGCTGAGTAGTACAGTGCGTGTTTCAATGTGAGGGCACCAGGAAGCACATTATTTTCCTATAGGCTGTTCTTTCTAAAGCAGTGCAACTTGTTGAAAGTAAGCTTTGTTTGAACTAATTTAGTTGAATTTTTCTTTCCAAGTTTGTGATGGTTGAGTTTGTAAATTGTTGCTAGCACAAATTCTGCACCAAATTTTACTAGGTTTTACTCGTGAATGAAATTACGTGCTAGAAACGCTTGTATCTACAACTACAAGCGAGTCATAAGATAAAAGGACATAATATTTCAAACTAAATCATACAGTTGAGTTTCTCTGGTCACTACATACTATAATGTTTAATTTTAAGCAGAGACTCTTATCTCTAAGTGCTTCTTGCAGAATGTTCCAGAAATCCATCTTTTTACTGCTAGATATATGGAGCAAATTGGAGATCCAGATGGTGCTCGTGCTTCCTTTCCTCCTATTATTATAGATTGGGACTCCTATTTCATTCAAAATGTTACTAATCGAGCAAATATGGAAAAACGTCTGGTACATGCTAAGTTACACAAGTTCTCTTAAATCAGGGAACAAGAATTTATCGTAAGACATTTCTTGCTGAAATTTGCCAGGGAAATTGCTCAGCTGCTTGTGATATTTACGAAAGAGCAATTAAAATGGCAGTGGAGGAGGAGAAATTTCAATGCCTTCCTACGCTATACATTTTTTATTATCGTCTCAAACACATGGTATGCAATCTACTTTGCAGCTTAAATACTTAATTATTTAGCAATTGTTGGTTTAGTGGTTTCAATAGTATCAAATGATATCTTTTGATGCTTCACTGATTGGGATAGGACGGGGAGGGAGGAGACAGAGAGAGAATTATGGATGCTTTCTTGACAGATCTCTATGGAATATCAGTTAGGAGCTTCAATTATATTACCCCCTATTTGTGACTTTTATAGCTTCATATTTCATCATACCATCCTTTAGGTTGAGATGCTGCTTTCCTATTCTAAATATTCCTCAACCTTTGCAATCATCAAAAGGGAGAAGAAGCTATCCAAATGAGCCGGAGAAAAATATCTCAACTTTGGAAAGATCCAGGAAGTTTCATTTTATGGAAACGAGGATTTAATGAACTCTTACTTGACAGAGAACAAGAGTCAAGAGGAGATGTAAATGTAGAAAGTTTTGATATGACCCTGGGGAAGGGGGGGGGGGGAAGGTATTCGGTGGTCATGCAAAAGGGGAAAGGCAACATAATGGCATACTGTAGGAGGAATGGGAGATGGGAAGGGTAAAGGTGGTGGGGAAGGTGAAAAATTGGGGGAAAAGAAAAAGTGGTAGATGGATATTATGTGCGGGGGGACAAATGAACGAACAAAAGGGCCACCATCAAGGTATGAATAAAAGAATAGGGGTAGATTTGCTTTGATTTCTAGAAATGAAAATGGAGGCGGTTTCAAAGTGGATTGTAGAAGCGTGTGGGGAAGTGGGGTAGATGGGAGAGCATGGCTATACATTGGCTCAGGGGAACTCTGGAGATATCCTATTATTGTGCGGGGAGAGGAAGTTAGAGAGTATGGAGATTAAAAAAAAGGTGATTTCATGTTAGCAACTTGGTTTAGAAACATCGGGAATGGGTCTCAGTGGGGATTCGGGGGAGTGTATGGGTCTTGGCGGGGAAGGGGTTCAAGGAGACCTTTCGGGAGAGATGGTGGTTGCTTTGAGGGAGTGGAAGTGTATGGGTCTTGGCGGGGAAGGGGTTCAAGGAGACCTTTCGGGAGAGATGGTGGTTGCTTTGAGGGAGTGGAATATCACTTGGGTGTCAGGAAGGGACTTTTAACCTTATCAAAGGCAAGGTGGTATCTAGAACGATGGAGAGTTCTTGGAGTTTATCGATAATCACTTTTTTATTGAATCTCCGCTTGACAGGTGCTAGTTTCACTTGGGCTGGTTGAAGGACTCAACATCTAGATCGAGACTTGATAGATTTTGTGTCCATCACCAGGGAGAAGATGGCTCCGAATGTGATTCAGATTCCCCTTCTGACAAACCACTCTCCTGTTATGTTTGATGGAGGAGAAGATTTGAGCATATATGGTTACACACGACGGACTTTGAAGAAAGAATGTCTGGATGGTGGAATAATTATGAAGTGGTGGGGAAACCTGTCTTCCAGGCTTGCTAATAAATTGAAGTTGCATAAGGATATTAGGGTGTGAAACTAAGTCTTTCTTGATTATTGATTTGTTGGATGAGTCTACTCTTGTGGTTATAGGATTGACAAGACACCAAATATGAAGATGGTTGGTGTGGTTTTTGTTGAAGTAAGTGACCACCTTATCTAAAAGCTTAATCTATGAGAAGATACAGATTTTCTGCAGAAAAGACTAGCTTTGGGGGTCCTAAATCAGCACTAAGAGCTGCAAAATTCCCTTTAAATTAGCTTGGAATCTCATGTCATTAAATTGGCAATCATGCTTAAAAGAGTTACTTGTCTATGCACATAATTAAATGTAGAAATTTATTACATTTATTGGGAGATAGCAGATTGTGCCAGCAGATTGTTGCTCAAATGTTATCAGGAGAAAATATTGTCACTTTATATCTAGCTCAGTAAAGGATGAATGAGGCATGTTGTTTGGCACAAGGTCTTGTCTTTGTAAACCATTTCACACTGCAGTTAACACAACTTAATGGTAATAGCCCTTTCTATGGGTCTTACTCATTTTCTTGGACAGAATCTGATACTACCTTCCATTGGTGCCAGATCACTGCTAGTGTGGAGGCTGCAAGAGATGTAATAATTGATGGAATAAAGCGTATCCCTGATTGCAAACTTCTTTATGAGGTATGTTTTCCTTATCTCTGTTAGGATGACTTTCCTGCAACTAGCAGGTAATGTCAAGTTTAGTACTCCCTCCTCCAAATGAGTGTCCTTGTAGAATTAGCATGTTGTAAGGTTAAGAATTTTAGGAAGTTGTTATTTAATGAGAAACTCAGGAAGAAGTGAGGTCCACAGGTTCCTCTTTTGTATCTTTGATAGGTAGAAGATTGATATAATGCTATTATGAAGTATAAGAGTGTTTCTTGTAACTATGTAACTAAGCATCTTCTTGATACCTTTTTCTAATTTATAATGAAACACCTTACTTCACTAAATTTTTAAAAAAGAGTAGAAGATTGTTATGTAAACCTTATATTGTACTATTAGTTGGAACTTTTTCTCTCCGTGGAAATAGGCAATCTATTGCTATCCTTACAAGGTAGGGGTAAGGTCTGCGTACACACTACCCTCCCCAGACCCCACGGTGTGTGATAATACTGGGTATATTGTTGTTGTTGTTGTTGTAGTATTGGCTATACCAAGCAAGAAATAGATATTGTGATAGCTCATATAAAAAAGTAGCATTTAGTTTGGCATCCAAGGGTGTGGCTGCGTAGGTGTCTAGTTGTATTAAGCTGGTGAAAAACTTGGAGACCAGTGTCCAAATCCCAAACGAGACAAATAATGCTTGGTGATTTCTCCCCATTGGCCGCCGAGGTGCATGCAGGCTTGCCTGGACAATACTCTTATTTAAAAAAAGAGAAAGTGGAACAATCTGAGGATCCAGCAGGGTACTTGCACTATATCTTGTATGTTAGAGAGCACACAAGAAGAATTTAGATGGTTTTTGACATGGATCTATGGCCCTCGTACAAAACTTGAAAGAGAAAAGTTGTGGTATGAACTTGCAGCAGTCAGAGGCATTTGGAATGAGCAATGGGTGATTGGGGGGGGGGGGGGTTTCAATGTGTGTAGATATGAAAGTGAAAGGTACAATTGCATCAGAAGATCCAAGGCTATGAAATCTTTCCCCGACGTCATTCAGGACCTTGACATAATTGATCTCCCTCTCCAAGGAGCTTATTATACATGGTCAAGGGGTGAGAACTCATTACAAGTGTGAGAAAGCACGGGAGAAAATATTATTGATTAATATTGACAATGATACTATGAGCCCTATATATATATAATACATGTCCTACTCCTAATACATACGGGATTAGGGTTATTTACTACTATTTAACTATCAAACTAACACTCCCCCTCAAGCTGGTGCATATAAATCATATGTACCGAGCTTGTTACATATATAACTAATACGAGGACCAGTGAGGGACTTGGTGAAAATATCAGCAAGCTGATCATTCGACTTCATAAATTTTGTAGCAATATCTCCCGAGAGTATCTTTTCTCTAACAAAGTGACAGTCAATCTCGATATGTTTAGTTCTCTCATGGAACACTGGGTTTGACGCAATATGAAGAGCAGCTTGATTATCACACTCAAGTCCCATCTAACTAATCTCACCAAATTTCAACTCCTTGAGCAACTGTTTGATCCAATTTAGCTCACATGTCGCCATAGCCATTGCTCAATATTCTGCTTCTGCACTAGATCGAGCAACCACATTTTGTTTCTTGTTCTTCCAAGACACCAAATTTCCTCCTACTAAGACACAATATCTAGACGTAGAACGTCTATCAGAAGGTGATCCTGCCCAATCGGCATCTGAGTATCCAACATCTGCTCATGGCCTCGATCCTCAAACAATAAGCCTTTGCCTGGAGCTGATTTTATATACCGAAGAATGTGGACAACTGCATCCCAATGACTATCACAGGGAGAATCCATAAACTGGCTCACAACACTCACAGGAAAGGAAATGTCAAGTCTAGTCACTGTGAGGTAACTTAATTTACCAAGCAATCCCCTATATCTTGCAGGATCGCTAAGAGGCTACCCCTGTCGTGGCAGAAGTTTAGAATTCGGATCCATCGGAGTGTCAACAGGTCTACAACTTGTCATTCCTGTCTCCTCAAGAATATCTAAGGCATACTTCCGTTGTGAGATCACAATACCTGAGCTAGACCGAGCGACCTCAATACCCAGAAAATACTTTAATCTGCCCAAATCCTTAGTCTGAAAGTGCTGAAAGAGATGTTGCTTCAACTTACTAATACCATCCTGATCATTGCCGGTAATAACAATATCGTCAACATAAACGACCAGATAAATATAGAGATTTGAAGCAGAATGTCGATAAAATACAGAGTGATCAGCTTCACTACGACTCATGCCAAACTCCTGAATAACTGTGCTGAACTTACCAAACCAGGCTCGAGGAGACTACTTTAGACCATAGAGGGACCGGTGCAACCGACATACAAGGCCACTAGACTCCCCCTGAGCAACAAAACCAGGTGGTTGCTCCATATAAACCTCATCCTCAAGGTCACCGTGAAAAAAAGCATTCTTAATGTCCAACTGATAGAGAGGCCAATGGCGAACAACAGCCATGGATAGAAAAAGGCGGACCGATGCAATTTTAGCCACGGGAGAGAAAGTATCACTGTAATCAAGTCCAAATATCTGAGTATACTGTTTGGCAACAAGACGAGCCTTAAGTCGATCAACCTGGCCATCTGGACCAACTTTGACTGCATACACCCAACGACAACCAACAGTCGATTTACCCGAAGGAAGAGGAACAAGCTCCCAAGTACCACTCGTATGTAAAGCAGACATCTCGTCAATCATAGCCTGTCGCCATCCGGGATGAGACAGTGCTTCACCTGTAGACTTAGGGATGGAAACAGAGGACAAAGATGACACATGCACAATGGGATGATGACAGATGATGGTAACTTAAACCGACATAATGAGGATTAGGATTAAGTGTGGACCGTATACCTTTTCGTAGTGCAATCGGTTGATTAAGAGGAGACAAGTCCGCAGTATTAGCAGGGTCAGGTGCAGGACGTGAATTAGCTGGGCCTGATGCTGGGCGCGGACGACGATGATAAGTGAGGAGTGGTGGAACTGTAGAAGGTTGAACTGGACTAGGTGGTGGAACTGCAACTGGAACTGTAGGTGGTGGAGCTATGGAGAAGATGAATGGGAGATAGGGACTGAATCTCCAAAAGAAAGAACTGGTAGCACCTCAAAAATATCTAAGTGATTAACTGGACCTGCGAAGTATGATTGGTTTCAAAGAAGGTAACATCGGCAGACATAAGAAATCGCTGAAGGTCAGGAGAATAACATCAATCCCTTTTGCGTTCTCGAGTAACCCAGAAATATGCACTTAAGAGCACGAGGAGCTAACTTATCTTTTCCTGGAGTAAGGTCGTGAACAAAACATGTACTCCCAAAGACACGGGGTGGAAGAGAGAACAAAGGTAAGTGGGGAAACAGGACAGAGAATGGAACTTGATTTTGGATAGCTGAAGATGGCATACGATTAATAAGATAACAAGATGTAAGAACTGCATCCCCCAAAAAATGCAGCGGAGCATGAGATTGTATGAATAGGGTACGAGCAGTTTCAATAAGATGTCTATTCTTTCTTTCAGCTACCCCATTTTGTTGGAATGTGTACGGACAAGATGTTTGATGAATAATCCCATGGGAGTTCATAAACTGCTGAAATGGGGAAGACAAATACTCTAGGGCATTATCACTACGAAATGTGCGGATAGAAACCCCAAATTAATTTTGAATTTTAGCGTGGAAGGTCTAGAAAATAGAAAACAACTCAAATTGATTTTTCATCAAAAATATCCAAGTGCACCCGGAATAATCATCAATGAAACTGACAAAGTAGTGGAATCCCAAGGTAGAACTGACTCGACTAAGACCCCAAACATCTAAATGGACTAAAGTAAAAGGTGACTCTGCTCGATTATCAAGACGCCGCGGGAAATGGGAGCGGGTATGCTTACCGAGCTGACATGACTCACACTCTAGAATGGACAAGTGAGATAAGCCAGGTACCATTTTCTGAAGTTTTGACAAACCGGGATGTCCTAACCGTTTATGTAATAAATCTGGTGAATCAGTAACGGGACAAGTTATTGGAGGAAGACAAGATGCGAGTCCATGTGATTTTGCAAGGATAAGGTAATAAAGCCCATCTGATTCACGTCCGGTACCAATGATCCGCCCTGTACTGCGTTCCTGTATAAAAACAAGGTCATCAAGAAATAAAACAGCAGATTTAAGTGATTTGGCTAAGCGACTAACGACTATGAGATTAAAAGGACTACCAGGAACATAAAGAACTGAGTCTAAAGGTAAGGAAGGAAGTGGAATTGCTTGACCTATTGCAGTTGCCATGGCTTGAGACCCATTGGCCATTGTGACTGTTGGAAGAGATTGAGAATATGAAATACTAGTGAAAAGAGATTTGTTACCACAAATATGATCAGACGTACCTGAATCAATGACCCAAGACTCGGAAGTTGAAGATTGGGAGACATAATTCATGCTACTATCTGTTGGAACAACGGTGGCTAATCGTGAAGATGTCTGCTTACGTGCTTTGTACTGAAGGAACTCAATATAATCGGTAAAGAAACCATCTGGATTGGATTCAATGCATTCGATCCAACGGATTGTGTGTCTAAGGCTTCTAATAAGAATGACATTATAATGTTCACGCCGGAAAAAAAAAATCAGAAACCCTTCTGGAAATTACTATTAACGCCAGAAAAATCAGAAAAAATTTCTGAAAATCACTGTTCACGCCGGAAATCACCCTTCACACCGGAAAAATATAAAAGTTGTCGGAATTAGGTTTAAATTGGATGGGTAGGCTCGGAATTGCAAGACGATTACACTGTCCAAAAGAAACTTTTTCAGATTCTGGCCGGAACAGCCCTCACGCGCCCAGACGCGCCACCGGCGACAGAACTCCGGCAGGCGCGTGGGGGCGCGTGGGTGAGTGTTTTCAGGTGGTTTTTTCTGGGGTTTGGTCGCCTATCTCTTGGGAACCTTTTGGTGGTGTTGGATTTCGCACAATACTGATAACTAGTGACTTTGACGCAAATAGTCACTTAGGTCACCGGAAAATCTCACGGTGACTGAGTTCTTTCTTCCCGGATGTCGCTGGAATGACGCACAACGATCTATTCTCACCAAAGCTGTGATACCATGTGAGAAAGCACGGGAAAAAATATTATTGATTAATATTGACAATGACACAATGAGCCCTATATATATATAATACATGTCCTACTCCTAATACATACGGGATTAGGGTTATTTACTACTTTTTAACTATCAAACTAACAACAAGCTTCCAGGATTGATAGATTCCTAGTCTCTACAGAATGGAGTGAAAGCTTTGTGCTATGAAGCAGCTTGCTCTTCCAAGGGTGATTTCTGATCACAATGATCAATCCATTACTTTTAGAATGAAGTGACTAGGAAGCCAATCCCTCCTACTTAAATTTTGAGAATATGTGGCTACAAGTGAAGGGGTTCATTGACAAAGTTAAACACTGGTGGCAAAGCTATGAGATCAGGGGCAGACTTGATTTTTCTCTAATAAGGCCCTGGAATTTGGGTGGAATAGAGTGGAATTTGGCAAGCTGGAAGCAAAGAAAAATAAGGCCTTGGAAGAGTTGTCCATGCTGGAGCAATTAATTGAAGGTAGACTTCTATCTTAGGCTGAAAAGGAGAAAATGTTAGAGAATCAAAATGGAGATAAAACAAATAGCAAAAGAGGAAGAGATATGTTGGAGAAAATCTAGGTGTCTATGGCTCAAAGAAAGAGATAGAAACACCAAGTATTTCCAAAGAATGGCCAATTCGCACAGAAGGTCAAATTGTATAGGCAGGTTGAAGATTGGAGATGAAGTCACAAATGACAAAGAGACCATCAAAGAGGAAATTATGAACTTTTATCAGGATTGTACACTGAAGAAGAGCAACGGAGACCCATTGCAGACTTTGATAATCTAGCATCCATCACTACAGAGGAGGAAGTGCTTGCAGTAATCATGTGCACCAGATAAATCCCCAGGGCCGCCAGATGGTTAAAGTAAGGCGTTTTTCCAGAAAACCTGGGATATATGATATCATGGGAGCTTTAAACCACTTTCACCAGAACTGCTACATGGTCAGGTCTTGTAATGCCTCCTTCATAGCTCTAGTTCCAAAAAGGAAGGGTGCGATTGAACTTAAAGATTTCAGGCCCATAAGTCTCATAGGGAAGCTTATTTCAGGAAACCAAAATGCTTTTATCAAACAAAGGCAAATCACTGATGCTGTTTTGATTGCTAATGAGGTGTTGGATGAGAGGTTGAAGAGTGGAATCCCAGGTATCATATGCAAATTGGACATTGAGAAAACTTTTGATCATGTTAATTGGTCCTACATGTTCTCAATGCTAAGGAAAATGGATTTGGTAGCAGGTGGATTAGATGGATCAAATATGGCCTGAAAACAGTCAAATACTCAATTTTAATCAATAGGAATCCAGTTGGCTTCTTCTCTCCGCAAAAAGGGACTAAGGCAGGGAGATCCCTTATCCTCTTTTCTTTGTATTATTGCTATGGAAGGCCTCAACAAGTTGCTTGACAAAGCAAGGCAGTTACAATGGTTTGACGGTTTTAGTGTTGGAAGGTCCCTAGAAGTGAATTTACAGTTTCAAATTTGCTTTATGCAGATGACACACTAATCTTCAGTGGTGCTGAAAAAACTCAGGTCCGATATCTTAATCTCACCTTGCTCATTTTTTTAGTTGTTTCAGGGCTTCATATCAACATTTTTTTAATTATCCCAGGATTAATTATCTCGGGATTAGTTATTCCACCTTTCTATGGGAATAAAAAATCACTACAATACCGGGATAATTAATCCTGGGATAACATCTTTTTAAATTTAGTCCCGGGATTAATTATTCCTTGTCCCTCATACCAAACGAGCCCTAAGACTATGATTTATCCTGTTAATGAAGTTCCTAACTTAGAGGAGCTAGCTGATGTTCTATGTTGTGGTACTGCCTCTTTCCTAACCACATATCTAGTCTTACCATTGGGAGCAAAGTATAAGTCTACTTAGCGTGGAATGGAGTGATAGAAAAGGTGGAGAAGGGGTTGGCAACATGGCAACTGCAGTATCTCTGGTGGCAGGCTAACCTTGATTAGCAGTGTTATGGATAGCATTCCAACCTATTACATGTCACTTTACCCTATGCCTAGTAAGGTGCTCAAGCTCAGCTCAGGAGGACCTTTCTTTGGAAAGGGAATAGTAAGGGGCATAAGCTCCACCTTGCAATAATATACGTACTTATATAGGTCTTAGCAAAATTCTCTAGACATTTTTATTGTTAAAGGGTGATGAATTAAGAAAACACGAAAGATGGCCAGAGTATAGATTCATAATCTATTCTACAGCAGCATAAAAGAAAATAAGCAAAGACAAATAAAATATAAATAAAACGAGTGAAAAGATATTAAAAAAGCCGGAACTCAAGAATAAAGTCTATAAAAGATTAAATATTCAAAAAGATAAATCTAAATCATACGAAAGGCATACCCAATACATTATAGTTTGCTACTCATAATCGCTAGAATACTTTGTGTCTTACTAGTGAATATGTTGGAAATAATTTAGTTTTAGTAGGAGTACCATAATAGGTCTGGAAATTAGGATTTAAGTTTAATTACGTGTTGGCGTGTAACCGTTTTCATAATTTCAAGGTCCAAGAAAAAATCTAATGCTTTATTATTTTTGAATGTAGTATTTAAATATATTTTTCACATGTAAATTTATTCGGTACGGTTCAATATTTTTTCGTTTTATTTTCATAAAATAAAAAACCTACCTCAACGGTTTTATTAAAAGAAACCTAAAAATCGGTTCGGTGCGGTACGGTTCGGTCGGTTTAGTCGATTTTTAAATATCCATCGACACCCCTAGATCCTTTTGCATCTTCTTGATGCTTGCAATGAAGCAGCTTATTTCATCAAAAAAAGAAAAGAAAAGAAAAAAGAAAATAGCATTCAGTTTTCTATTGAGGGTAGTACAATATGTGAGCTCTTGAGTTTGAGAAGGTTAAACGCCAATTGAGCACTTAGAATTCTGTTGTGTTATTGGTGATTCCAATAAGAACTTTCGCAGGTCATCTGGATTAAGAATTCTGACCACCATACAATAGTGACACACATCTCTATATTATTTTTTGAAAAGGAAATTACGACTTTTGATTGAAAGGATAAAAAATTGAAAAGGCCCTGAAAAAGCTTCTAAGATGAAAGCTATTTTTTTCCCGATAAAGTAAGTGATTTCAATAGAAAGCATCAAGAAGATGCAAGAAGTACATGATTTGGAATTTAAGCTTACAAAAAATATTCCTGGCTCCTATACATAACTGATTAAGCCAGAACCAAAGAACTACTGAAATCCAAAAGATGGTGAATATTACTAGTAGGGTACAATCCAAACCAACAAAACAAATTGGCAATGCACATAGCCTTTGAAGAACCTATAGGAGTTGAGTTTCCATCAAAACATCTCCTCTCTTCTAAGATGAAAGCTATTTTTGGCACTATTCTTCATGAGATTGTGACTAATACCAAATAATGAATATATTCTACTTCTGCAGGAACTGATAAGATTTGCAATGGCGCATGAAGGAACTAAGCAATTGAGCATAGTAGACTCGGTCATAGCTAATGCAATCTCTCCGGTAGACGTATCCCAAGGTTTGGATATAAAAGATCGAGAGAGTATATCTATATTATTTTTGGAGGTTAGAAGCCCCCTCTAAATGTTTCAGTTCTACATCGTTTTGTTTTCTTATTCTCCATTTTGGCTGTGGAAGGAAAGTGGGGAATTTCTTATTTAAGTGGAAAAATAGTTCAAGATTTTCATAGCTTCATGTGTGATTATCTGTTTGCCGATGCTGCTGCGACCATCAATAATTAATGGAGTGGAAATCTTATAGGAATAACTGTCAGTACAACACACTCATGAATCTAGCATCTATTACCTTAAGAACTTAACTAGCTAACATGTAGGGACAACTAACAATGGTTTGGAAGTGAGCTAGCTACTGCTGGGCACATTGTAAACCTGATCCAATAGTTCACATCTGTCAACATGTTTCCAGATCTTCCTAACTAGCCAATGTGCAAATATAAGGTTGTGAAATTCTGATGACGTAGTCGTAGACCATGTCAAGTTAATAAACGATGCTTATTTGACCTGTATGGTGAGTTGTGCCAGTTGGATATCTTTTTTTTTGGTGCATATGCTTCTGTATTGCTCAAAATTGAAGGATGCTATAATCCTTCATTACAAGATGTGGTTTGTCTCTTATGACAGCCTTGCATCATCTTGTCACAACCCAAATTTGGATGAGCCATGACTAGTGTTTGGTGAGTCGCTACCCACTAAGTGAGCCCTTAGTCATATCGCTCAACTGGCTGAAAGGCAAACAAGATAACAGAACTATTGTGTCAAGAAAATATCCGACCAACTGAGTCCCCACAACCCACAAGGGTCAAAACCCTAAATTCTCCAAACCCCACCAAATTAATACCACGTGACCTCTTCACTTCCCTCATGAGGCATTTGCCATCATTAGCATTCAGATATCACCAGAAATAGTCGAATTTTGAATCTGAAGAGCTATGCGACTTTGGGAGTTGTACAGATGAGTCATCTTCCTTTTGTGTTTGATTTTTTGCGCTGTTAAGATTAGACTGGTTTACAATTAGTGTGTCAGGTCTTAGATTAGGTCTGTAGTTACTGTTTCTGAAATCGGATAACTGTTAATTGTATAGCTTAGTTCTCTTCATCTGTCAAACGTTTTGTTTCGTTTTGATCCTCCATCTGGTTTAATTCTGTTTTGTAATCTCCNTTGCCGATGCTGCTGCGACCATCAATAATTAATGGAGTGGAAATCTTATAGGAATAACTGTCAGTACAACACACTCATGAATCTAGCATCTATTACCTTAAGAACTTAACTAGCTAACATGTAGGGACAACTAACAATGGTTTGGAAGTGAGCTAGCTACTGCTGGGCACATTGTAAACCTGATCCAATAGTTCACATCTGTCAACATGTTTCCAGATCTTCCTAACTAGCCAATGTGCAAATATAAGGTTGTGAAATTCTGATGACGTAGTCGTAGACCATGTCAAGTTAATAAACGATGCTTATTTGACCTGTATGGTGAGTTGTGCCAGTTGGATATCTTTTTTTTTGGTGCATATGCTTCTGTATTGCTCAAAATTGAAGGATGCTATAATCCTTCATTACAAGATGTGGTTTGTCTCTTATGACAGCCTTGCATCATCTTGTCACAACCCAAATTTGGATGAGCCATGACTAGTGTTTGGTGAGTCGCTACCCACTAAGTGAGCCCTTAGTCATATCGCTCAACTGGCTGAAAGGCAAACAAGATAACAGAACTATTGTGTCAAGAAAATATCCGACCAACTGAGTCCCCACAACCCACAAGGTGCATGCATCACATATGATTCTGAGTCAACTAGATAATGACGCAACCCAACAAAAATAGACATGGCATAAAATTGAAATGATCTCTAGGGAGTATGGAAGTTTCTCCATTGCCGTTGATAGGAGCGTAAAGACTCAGGAGTCTGTTGCAGGGTCTATCTCTGTATCTAGACTCAAAAGCAAGGGAGTGAGTCATTTATACCCGGTAAACATCATCGACCGTCCCTAAAAGCCTGAGACCAGTCTTTTATGAAAACAATGCATGCATGACTGCAATGCAACTGTATGCAAGGGAAACTGAACTGTTACTTGCCTGAAGGCTAAACTATGTTGAAGTTGTTCCATACACTTTCCTCATTAGTTCGTTCCAAAAAGAATGACACATTTCTATAACTGAAAATAATTCAACTTTAAACTTTTCATTTTACCCATTTTACCCTTAATGAGAAACTTTTATAACCACACAAATATCATGGCCCCACAAAGCTTTTACCCCTTAAACTTTTATGACCACAAGTTTCAAAAATTTCCCTCTTTTCTCTTAAACTCCGTACCGAGTCAAACTACCTCACCTAAATTGAAACGGAGGGAGTATATTTCTTATGCGAGATACAACATGAATTAAGAATATTTGTATTGGCAATAAGAGGAAAGTAAGTAATCCCTACATAAGAATCAGAATGTGTTATTGTTCATCGCATAATAAATCTACATTTTTATTCACCATATAGCAGTCCCTTCATTCTCATTTACCGCATAAACAATCCTTGCACTATAATGCCCGAACAAAAAGACCCACGAGTCATGGAAAGTGATTAGGAGAAAGGCGTCATCACACGATAGCTACATAGTCTTGCTATCAGAGGATAGCTTTCTTTTTAAAAAAAATGAATCCCTATTGTGCACCATGGTGTTTATTGACCTAGAGAAATCATAGGACAAGGTCCCTACGGAGGTTCTTTGGAGATGCTTGGAGGTGAAAGTTGTGCCGGTAGCTTATATTAGTGTGATAAAGGACATGTATAATGGACCTAAGACTCGGGTTAGGACTGTGGGCGGCGACTCGAAGCATTTTTCGGTTGTTATGGGGTTACACCAAGGATCTACGCTCAGTCCATTCTTATTTGCCCTGGCGATGGACGTACTAACACAACATATTCAAGGGGAGGTACCGTGGTGTATGTTGTTCGCTGATGATATAGTTCTGATTGATGAGACGCGAGGCGGCGTTAACTAGAGGCTGGAGGTTTGGGGATAGGCCATCGAGTCTAAAGGTTTCAAGTTGAGTAGGACTAAGACAAAATATCTGGAGTGCAAGTTCAGCGAGGTGACAGGCGAAACAGACATGGACGTGCACACAAGTCATCCCCAAGAGAGGAAGTTTCAAGTACCTTGGGTCAGTTATCCAGGGGATGGAGAGATCGACGAGGATGTCAGGCACCGTATAGGGTTGAGATGGATGAAATGGAGGTTAGCATCAAGAGTTCTGTGTGACAACAATGTGTCACCGAAACTTAAAGGTAAGTTTTATAGAGCGGTGGTTAGACCGGCCATGTTCTATGTGGCCGAGTGTTGGCCAGTCAAGAATTCACATATCCAGAAGATGAAAGTAGCAGAAATGAGGATGCTGAGATGGATGTGTGGGCACACTAGGTTGGATAAGATTAGGAATGAAGATATTTGGGAGAAGGTGGGCATGGCTCCTATGGACGACAAGATGCGGGAAGCGAGACTTAGATGGTTCGAGCACGTGCACAGGAGAAGCCTAGATGCCCTGGTTAGGAGGTGTGAACAGTTGGCTTTGGCAGGTATGAGGAGAGGTAGAGTGTGACCTAAGAAGTACTGGGGCAAGGTGATTAGGTAGGATATGACGCGACTTTAGATTTCTGAGGACATGGCTCTTGGTAGGAAGATGTGGGGGTCAAGCATTAGGGTTGAAGGTTAGGCGGTAGTCGAGCGTGTTTCTACTTTGTACTGGGGGTGGGACTAGTTTAATAGTGTTTTGGCTTGGACTGCTAGTGGTTTATGTTGTGCTCACAGTATTTTTCCGTTTTTCATAGTACTGTGTTATTATTACTAGTTATTGTTATTACTTTTCCATCTATTTTCTGTCTCTTACGATGTTGATATTATTTTTCTGGCTTCTGTTGTTACGGATCTATTGTCTCTTTTCGTCTTCTTGAGCCGAGGGTCTTTCGGAAACAACCTCTCTACTCCTTCGAGGTAGGGGCACCTTGTGGGATCTTACTAGGTTGTTATTGTTGTTGTTGAATCACTATTGTGAACTATGATCTGAAGTATCTCTGTATGACGTCTTCTCCTCAATGCAGAGCAGCATGTTACAGTAAACCTATCTACACCATGACCAAATAAGACTTGACTGAATTAGGAACTTACCTCTTTTGTCCAGTAGAGTTACAACTACTCATGGTCCGTACTTGGTATACTTTAATTGTTTGCTATGACTTTTTATTATGTGACAATGTTCCTAGTTAAAGGGCATATTACATTATTTGTGCATGATCAAAATTTCTTTGAAGAATCAAGTCTTTTTATTTGCAGGCATGAAAGAACATAAAAAAGGAAGAAAAAAAAGCAGATAAGAAAGAAAATCCAAATTGTTTTACTCAGTACTCTGTCCGGATGGTAGAAGACTGTGTCAACACAAACCAAGCCCTGATCGTACTAAAGACAATGAGAAAACCTAAAAATTGAGAGATATAAAAAGATATACTCAGTATGCATACATGACAAGTTGATTTTCTCTTTTCATGTATAGTGATTTTCTACTTTAGATAATAAGATCTCATCTGGAAGTACAAAATGTATGTGGGATGGCTTCAGTTTCAACAATGGGTTCATTGCAAATTGTTGTGTGATATTTAATGTTTCTAGACCAACCACTTCCAGCTATTACTAACCAAAACTGTGATTACCACCTGTGTTAGAATAGTCATGTAAATAGGAGTAAATAAATAACCCTAATCCAATATATATTAGGAGTAGGACATGTTATGTGTGTATATATATAGGGCTCATTGTAACATATGTTAATACATCAATAATATAATTTCTCCTGTGCTTTCTCACATGGTATCAGAGCTGTCGTGAGATATTTATCGTTGTGCGTAAATTCCAGCAACTCCGGGTAAACGTAAAAAAAAAACCCGTTTTTTTTTCCGGCAAAACAGCACTGTCCGCAAGAAAAAAATCAATATCCGTCGGTGTTGTGCAAAAACCAACACCACCACGAGATAGATCAGCTTCCGGCGACCAAACCA